TTTTTTGTAGGAACATGGACACCGTCATTAGGTAAATTTATATGAAAATTCCTACTTAACTACCAGCAGCAACATACTGACTTGTTATTATTTATATTTACACTTCACATCGGTCTATCCGCATGCTATTTGCTGATAATTTCATCTAATCTTTCGAGATGAGCTTTTTCCGCCTGATTGTCTCCTGCAGAGTGGACGAAGCTTGGTTGATGAAATCTGAGTACTTCAAGCATTCAAAAATTCGCATACAGCGAATACTCGCAACACGCGAATATTTGCAATATGTGAATATCTGCATAATCGCATATCCAAATACTTCCAATAGTCGATGAATGTAAATGTTCGCATTATGAGAGTATTGGGTTTTTAAATGTTCCCAACACTTATCCAAATATTCCGATCCATAAATTTCAAAAAACAGAAAATGTGCAGCGTTTAAAATGATCATTGGCTCCCTTGATAGATAAAAACGTGAAGTCCCTTGTTGACATATCATCCCCAGATTCATGACATTTCCTTCAACATCGATTGCGCATCTTTCTATTTGACTGTTAAACGGCCCGGACACAACTGCGATAAACGTCTGCTATTGTAAAACCATTTTCGATTTAATTACCCGCCTTGTGCTCAGCAGTACTGCAGTAAGGATGCAACCGCGAGTCAAACGACCAAACAACGGGTTGTCATGACCTACATATCCAACCAGCTCATCTGAATCTGCGTTATTAGAACAGAAATATTGAAATTCTGCGCCGGCATCTTATTGGCGCACCATAGAATACTTTATTTTTATTATAAAACTCTTACTTTTGCCCTTCTACTGTTATTGAATTCTACCTCATTATCAACAGAAACTGGGTGCCCAATGAATTGCACTTCGATATCCTCACTTGCACTTTTACATTTTGATGTATAAACGAACTCAAGGGGGAATTTTCTCACCACAGCATACATGCCGTGTAGTATCCAGCAACACGATACTGTCTGCCCCAACTGAAACCGTCTCCAGAAAGATATTCAATCACCTAAACGCTCGGTAGGTATGTGATTGAAAATCTATGCAAAGAAGAGTTGAGCTGAACGAACCTTGATGATAGGGAAGGGCAATCCCTTGGTAAGTGCGTTTGATAGCTCCTTCTCCATTTTATTTACTGAAAATAAGTAATAAAATCAAGAGAGACAAATGC